CTGCAGCACATTTCCCAATGAATGAAAGATACAACAATTTACATAAATATTAATTCATTTGATTTACATAAATATTAATTCATTTTCGGACAATTACGGGATGTCTCGACGTTGTTGACAATGCGATATCAATGCCACTCGCACTATGTACATTTTAGCACTAGATCTAGTGCCATTTTAGCGCTAGATCTAGTGCCATTTTAGCACTAGATCTAGTACTATTTCGGATTAGTGCTACTAGCACTAACCACTCGCACTACGCCCATTTCGACACATTTACATACCTCCATTACATGCTGAACACAACAAAAACACCTGTAAACTCCCAATATTGCTGCTCTAGTTTGCTGAAAAGGGTTTGCTAGTTCATACGTAATTTGTATCGCAAAAAACTTTATGTAACATTACCCCCCCATATTTCAGTATTTTTCTATAATTCCTTTTGACCCAGTGGATGATATAAATTTAAAAAATATATATATATATATATATACATACACACACTTATGTATATAGAAAAAGTTGGGCAGATTATATATGATGAAAAGTGCGTAAATTTGACTGGCATTCAAGATTTTATAATGTATTTACAAAGATGAAATCTTTCTAAGGGCAAAGGTCATGGAAGGTTAGTGTAGCCTTTGGTCATGTGAGTGATAAATCTGTGGTAGAATGGCTTTGAGGATAAGATAAATAAATTATGCAAATATGAGATAAAAATATAAATTATGCACATAATTTTTATATGATAATTTCAAGCGGTACATTTTATTTGTGGGTGGGGTTTTCCCCTGGAAAGTTTCATTTACATGCAAATTGCACTCTGAATCAACAAACTACCTTTAATATTAAATTTATATATATAACTACATATACCTTTAATATTAAATTATATATATATTTATAGATGTTACATTCTACAGTAGGCCCTTCTCTACTCGCTGATGCTGAATTCGAAAATGTATGGTTGTTCCTCCCTGTCCACAAAAATAAGATTTGTAAAGTCACATTTGAATAATCTTTTAGATGAAAATATTTAGAAAATGTTAAAAACACAATTTTGAGAGTCTGTTTGCAATATTCCATACATGTTGTATAGAATTGTGACAGTATCCATAAATCACATGGAAATATTATCCTTGTTTCAAACAGTGTGTTGTGTCAAACAGTACAGTAGGCAAAGGAATTTTATCTTTCAAAATCTTAAGATGTTTTGCAATCAGAACATAAAGTTATTGTAGCATTATAGCTCAGTGTAGCTATGCGTATGATTCCAAATATCATGTTAAGAACAAGTGCAATGAAAATAGGGTCTATAAATGCCAAAATGTGACGAGTTCCCTGGATAATAGATATGGTTTTACTTATAAATGTTATATTGTCAGCAACATTTTGTTTGAGGCCTTCAGCAAGTAAAGTAATACATTTACATGTATGTGTAATCCATAACATGCAACTGTTATGGTATGTTTGCAAGATATACTAATAGCTGAAAATTACCGATTGTGATTTGTGATTGAGTTTTCACCATCTTAGGGTGTCACTGAATCTCCCTTCAGATTATCTGTTTGACAATCGAAGATCACAAAATCAGTATGCGATGTAAAGCATTTGCCATTACGATTAGTTTGAGATGCACACTAGACTTTTCAGTTGTTTTCTGTATATAGTCATTAGTTTCTTTTCTTTTGAATTTATAGTACAAATATTGGAGCAAACTTTGAACTTGGAGCGGTATGTACTTCCTTGGATAGTTGTGTTTAGCATACACCCAATGCAGAATTATGATTTGATTTATTGTTGTGGTGGGTAAATAAACTTGATAAATTAGGTGAAATATAGCAGATTGTGATTAATAAACCTCACATACGAATATATTCAGAACTTTAATTAAATTTTGCTGACAGTACAACTTTAATACTGTAAACTACTTTCACAAGTGGCAAATTTTCACAAGGCAGGGTAAATTATGAAATTTGAGCAGTTAATATTTTATTCAAATCCACAAGATCAGGGCATCATGGTGATTTTCATGATGTAAATATATTTATCACATACATATCCCTGCAAATATGCAAATCATGAAAAATGGTAAAATATAAGATGTTAGACATTTTAAACGTTTGTATCTCAGACATGAATGGGTGATGTGGTGTGCAGCATATTGATGATCTTAATAGGTGAATCTGATGTGTGAGAGCTGTGCATGTAGTTACTGTTGTTATTCAAATGTATGTACATATAGGACATACCAAAAATAAGCAAGTTTTGGGTTCTAGCTTGTCTTTAAAAAATGAAGACTTGACAAAAATATAAATAACAAAATAATGAATAACTAAAATTGGTACATGCTACATGTTAAAGATCTCGGTCAGTTAGAAATGTGTATGTCAATTTTTTTTTTTGTGTTGTATAATGAATCATTGACCAGAGATACCTCTGTCATTTATGTAATGAATGCACTACTATTGTAAATTTAGTAAATACAGTATTTGTTTTCATAGAAAATTAACAAAGTTTTATAATTAAAATTGAAAAAAAAGACACTCACATTAATTTTATAAAACAAGTTGACCAGAAAGTTTTTAATTTAATTCTGGGTCTAATGGTATTTTCACTGACTTTTTTAATAGTTTTTAAGGTTCGTGGCTAATTTGAAAGTATTTTGGGGGGATTTTCTGCATCTATATCAAATAATAGTTTTAGTTACAGAATGAAATTATCTTTAGAAGTTGGAGAAATATGATAAAAAAACTTGATATCTCTCAGAATCTATCAACTTGGATGTACTGTTTGTGATTCAATCCATCGGTTCGCGGATTACAACAGATTACCATAAGCAATATTTGGGAGATGCTGCATTTGGTTTGGCTCATGCACAAACCACTCTATATGAGAAGAATCACAGGATTTCGAGTGTGACCTCCAGTTGCACTTATGTCCATTGGTCAGTTTGACAATCAAATCAAGTTGAGGGTAATGAATACTTCAATGTTGTTTTACCTTCTGATCTGTTCTTTGTTAACTAAATAAACTCTACTTGGTCGTCATAACGCCACACAGTGTTGTGCACAATTGTTGCTATTGTTGCACATAATGCATTACTGTATACTTTATTGTGAAAAAAGGCATGCATTCATCAGTGCTGTAAAGAATGTATATATATATTATTTTTAACCTATTGGTTTATTTGTTGGAGTGAATTTGGCGTATAGTAACAAGTCCCACCTGTGATACAGAGTGAAAC